AAGTAATGATCCATTTCCTCTGGGTGCAATATATTTATTCATAGACTATTTCAGGGGTTGTTTAGAATATGAGATGTGAATGGATTATGATCCGTTATCCCTGAGATTCTAATGTGCTACTACAAAATGGTCTCTGTAAGTATTGCTCATAATGCCTGGTGAGTTAGTGTTTATATTCTTAAGTAGCTAACAAAAAATTAGAAAAGCAGATGCTCAAATGATTGATACTTAAAACTTTGCAGATATTTACACTTACAAACTATTATAAAAGTTACAGTTTTCAGTTAAGGAACGTAATTCTATGAAATACACATGAAACAATCATATATAATAGTAAAATTATTCATATGTGAGTATTCGCTTGGGAAATGCTTAGTGCCCTTATTTATCCTACAAAAGTTTTAAGGACTTGCTCATAGTATCATGAGTAATACTGAGTAATAGATGGCCAATTCATTCATGAAGGTGAAGTAATGGTATTTCTAATTTTGATTTAAGAGATATACATTAAGTAATGTGACATGTGACAATGCTTTCAATCCCTCCCCCAAGTATTTTAAAGCAAACTTGAAGCAAGTGAGATGGTGCATGTGTTTGTTTAGAATTTTGCATCTGTGGGTGTTGCTCCCCTAGTGTTCATATTCGTATGAAGTAAGTTATTGATTTGGTGTTGGGTGAGTTCACAAGTACAGTGTATTTATTCCGTACTTACTCAAAGCTGAGAACTCTATCTGATACTGTCAGTGGAGACATTTTTCTTAGAGGAGTTTATAGTGTAGAAGGATAGGTTATACTCTAGTTGAGCAGGAAGCATACTCACACATGAATTAATACAATATTTACATATAAATCCTTCACAATAAGATGTCTAATTCTCTGTGGTCAACGTTAAATCTTTTCCAGTGACATCTAGAAATTTCTGTTTTTACTTTTCTGTTTGTTTTGGGTTTTTTTGAGGAAGATTAGCCCTGAGCTAACATCTGCTGCCGATCCTCCTCTTTTTTTTGCTGAGGAAGACTGGCCCTGAGCTAACATCCGTGCCCATCTTCCTCTACTTTTTATATGTGGGACACCTACCACAGCATGGCATGCCAAGCTGTGCCATGTCTGCACCTGGGATCTGAACCAGCAAACCCCAGGCTGCCCAAGCAGAATGTGTGCACTTAACTGCTGTGCCACTGGGCTGGCCCCTGTTTTTACTTTTTGACTTGGTTATCCTTTATAACTTTAATTTCAAATGATTATAGATGTATGACCAAATATTCCAAGATTCCCTGATAAACTCTTATGAATTCATCACTGGTTGATATAATTAAAAAATTTATACACATACTTTCTATATCCCATACTAGTGTCATATTATATAAAATTAGCAGTAACTTTAAAAATATCAATTTTTCATAAATGACCCCTTTCAGTCATTAAGAAGACTCCCCCCCCCCCCAACTTCAACATTTGAAACATCTGGTCTCTTTTCTTGTTTCCTACTTGTTTTTCTTCATTTCTTTATGTTAACATTGACTAATATTTATTAGTTGTCTGCTATATGTCAGACTTTGTGTAACTACTTCGCACATGTTAACTCAGAATGCTCATATATATTCTATGAGGTCAATTCTATGTTATCTTCATTTCGTGAATAATAAAAATGAGACCCAATGAGATTAAATAACTGAACCCAGTTCACCCATCTAATAAAGGGGTGGAGGGTCAAATTTGAACTCAAGTCTGCCTAATACCAGAGCTCTTAACTGTGGATTTCTATACCCTTCTGCCCGCCTTCACCAGATATCCTAATATGGAGATCCTTCTTTTACCTATTATTGTGTTTTAATTGCCTTTACTCAGTTATAAAAATCAATATGCTAATAAGTAGAGAGTGTTGTAGATTTCATAGTGGATTTGTACAGAATTCACTTTCTCATTCATTTTAATTCCTTTTACAGTATTGTTTAGCATCTGGACATTTTTTTGGCATAGTATATTGAGCTGACAGTTTTGGGCAATGATCAGCAAGGATTTATTAAATTCTACCCTAGGAATTTAGTAGATACCACAGAACCTATTGGTACTTCATTATAGTTTGATTTACATTTTGGTGATTAAATTAATATATATTATTCACATTGAAAATTAACGTACAATTTTGTTTTTCCAACTGCTAGGAGGTCTTTGTATGGTTGACCTCTCTCAGAGACAGATATTTTTCTCTGTATTCTCTTATCATTTAGACAAATGTTAAATAAGACTCAATCCAGCATCACTCCATCAGTACCTTTAATTTACTTTAGCATGTCTTACTTTCTATCTTGGACTTGGGCTACCATGGACTTCATTCTTCTAAGTGTTTATTCGAGTTTAACGTAACATTTTCTGAAAATATTTCCCTAAGCATCTGATCATTTAGATCCATGACATGTTTTTGAATTAGTAACATTTAAAATTTCTTACCTATGTATTTTTAAATTATTTCCAGCAACAATGTTAGCATTTTATTGAAATATTTTTTCTCAGACTGAGTGCCTATGTGACCTCAGTTTGGGATTCTTCTCTTACACTTTGTAACAAACGTGATCATTTTACAACTACAGTTACTTAGTGGCGTCCCCCAAAACATATTTTGGTACAATTCTTGGTCACTGCTCAAAACCAAATTATCACAAACAGTGTATCACACAACACATGTAAATGTCAATAAGACCAATTGCTTCCTTAACTAGTAGGAGGGTATTAAATGAATATTTATCTCCTGCAAACCACAGGCTGCCTTTTATAGCTGTACATACGGAGACACGCATATATATATTATCATTTTACACTTTATTTTTTTCAATTATTTTTCTTTAAAAATATACCAGCTAAAGAAGGTGGAAAAGATTGTTGACAATAATATTGCCAAAGTTTGTTTTCTCCAGTGTCATCCTGAGTAGTGTCAAATTGTGAAGTTAGTGAAGTTAGAATTGTGTTTCAAATGAATTGAGAGATGTGGTTTGGCAGCACAGCATAATTACAACAAGACAAAAAGAATATCTGAGCAGAGGAAAGTAAAAGAGGATAAAATAATATAGTTATTGAATTCAAATCCATACTTTTTTAGTTGTTAAAAAGAGTGAAGTGGCAGGCATATACAAGTTAGCAAAACCACAGGCCTTATGTTTGCTAGAGATGGTCTTCGGATTTTTAATAACTTAGTTGCCCATTAACTAAATCATACTACCAGAAAGTTGAGTAAAATGAACATTCGTAAAACCAGCTTCTCCTAGACAACTTGGTCTTCACTAAATCACTTTATCCCTTAGATATTTTAATCTAGAGGAAGAATCTTAGAGTGAGCTTATGATCCACTTTGAGTTCCCTGTGGATATATGTAGGAATAGGAACATTCAAATATTTAGTATTTCAACAATAAAAGAAAGTTATCAGTGCTGTCATAGCTGTGCTTTAGAATGCATATCATATTTAATATCTTTATATAATGTAAGGAACTTAATATATAAACTATGTGTGCGTTTGTGTGTGTATGTGTAAGAACATCTAAATTTTGTGAACTAACTTTAGAGAGTGAATATTTTAACACATAGTATCGCATGATGTTGCTACACTTTCATACTATGTATAGGATAATATATAGTTGGATTGGCATTAGTCGTATATCTCACATTATGATAAAATTTAGATAATATACAATATATTAAAAGACATACCATATTCTCTAAAATGTAGTAGGTTCTCCAGAAGGCTAAAGATAACGATGTATATTTGTTTCCATTTTCCATTGATAGATTTTTTTTCTGCTTTAGTACTGCAAGAGGTGATTTTAAAACTTTCACATCAACTTCCACATTTATAAATGCTATGTAAATATTATGAAAACCTTTTTTAGTATTAGATTATTTTTCCTGGTGCTTGTTTCACTTTGCTGGACCCATTAGCAGTTTGCTTATTTCTGGATTTCTATAGCAGAAACAGAATTATTGATTTTTGATAAATACTCACTTTTTTCTTTTCTTTTTTTTTGATTGGCACCTGAGCTAACAACTGTTGTTAATCTTTTTTTTTCTGCTTTTTCTCCCCAAATGCCCCCAGTATTTAGTTGTGTATTTTTTTAATTGTGGTCCTTCTAGTTGTGGCACATGGGCCGCCACCTCAATGTGGCCTGATGAGCGGTGCCGCCTCCGCGTCCAGGATCCGAACCCTGGGCCACTGGAGTGGAGTGTGCAAACAACCACTTGGCCACGGGGCTGGCCCCACTATTTTTCTTTAAAAAAAAAAAAAAAATCCAGGGGCCGGCCCCGTGGCCGAGTGGTTAAGTTTGCACACTCCACTGCGGCGGCCCAGGGTTTCACCTGTTTGGATCCTGGGCGCGGACATGGCACCGCTTGTCAGGCCACATTTAGGTGGCGTCCCACATGACACAACTAGAAGGAACTGCAACTAAGATATATAACTATGTCCCGGGGGTCTGGTGGGGGGATTTGGGGAGATAAAGCACAAAAAAGTAAAGATTGGCACCTGAGCTAACAACGGTTGCCAATCTTTAAAAAAAAAAAAATCCAAATAATAGCATTTCAACTAATTCCCAAACCATTAAAAAAAAATGTAAGTTAGTTTTGGAGGAAACATTTTAATAATATACATGATATTTAACATTCATTTGGAAACATCTATAAGGTCATTTGTCCATGATCAGTCTTCCACCCCCATCAGAGCTTTGACCATTTTTGTCTTTATTTAAATATATTCTACTCTTCTACATCCTATATGCCCTTATTTATTACTTTATTACATTCGTATTCTTTGATAAGATACTACTCTAAGAATTTGCGATCAATAATGAGAAATCATCTTGGTACTTTTACATCATTAAATAACTGATTTGTTTGAAATCATTCATATGATGAATACTTTTAAACTTGAGACACTTTTAGATATTTAGACATTTTTGGATATCTTTCAGCCTGTGGCTTCAGTGGATATATTTAAAAAATCTTTCTTTCTAGAGGGTGTTAATGCCGACAGCATCAAACAAGCCTCAGAACAACTGAACCGCCGGTGGAGTGAGTTCTGCCAATTGCTAAGTGAGAGACTTAACTGGCTGGAGTATCAGAACAACATCATCACTTTCTATAATCAGCTACAACAATTGGAGCAGATGACAACGACTGCTGAAAACTGGTTGAAAACCCAACCCATCACCACATCAGAGCCAACAGCAATTAAAAGCCAGTTAAAAATTTGTAAGGTAAGAATCTTTCCTCCTATTTGGAGCATCATCATTAGGAATTTCTTGGCGATTTCCAGAAGAATAGTAAATTATTTATTAATAAAATTTCCCTTCTGAGGATTTAGTTAAACATAGTAAAGGTCAAAATATAAGCAAAGAAAATCAGTTTAAAAAGGTAATAGATGGATGCCTGAATCCTAAAAAAAAACAAAAGTATTTAGAGTAGTTACATATGGCTAACTGATTTTGTCAGTTTGCAAAATGGCGAGGCAGTTTTGGAATATGGAAACTACATGTATCATTTGAGAAGTGGCCAATAATTTGGAGCTCTTTCTTATGGCAGCCAATGTGCTAAGAACAAAATCTAGTCATATGTTGAAAAAGTCGAGTCCACACAAACACAAGCAGCTAATATATAATCAGATATATGAGGAAAGTCTTTAAAACTGACAGTCTACTCAAATTAGGATAATTTGAGGAAGGTTTCTTTACAAAAATATTTTATAAATGTGCTTGGAGTATAGAGGAACCACAAAGGGTAGTACAGCAACCCAGCATCAGATCTGTTATCGTTCTTAGGACAGAAAGGATCAGGGACAGAGAAGTGATGGAGGCCCAGAAGGAGAGAGACAGATGCCCGTTTTAAAGGCAGCCTTAAGAGCCAGCCCAAGCGCCATGACAGGAATGGAGTAAGAAAAATAATCACCCTGCTTTCCTGCCTCCAGAGTCTGAACAGGGTTCCCCGCTGACTAAACTTAATCAGAAGGCAGAGGGCAAGGAGCTGCAGTCTATAAATGTCATTTTATAGAATGGAAGAAGGGTGGACAGTGGATCTGAAGGGGAAAACAAGATATAACTGGCACAAAACGGCCTGAGAAAGAGATTGAAAAAGTTTGTCTGCAAGTGTAACAAGAGATATATAATAATCTTAATAACTTGAACTTTTTGTGTAGTTACTATGAGCTACACACTTTTCATGGGAAGTGGGGATTGGTTAGAGGATAGACGAAAAGGTTTCTGGGATGAACCTTAATGGTAGACTAAAAAGCAATGAATGGGGGCTAATCTGCGTACTTTGAAAAGAATGATTTGAATAATAAGAGACTAGAGATGGAGTGGTAACAGGGCTGGTTTGGAGGTGGTATTGAACCCAGAAAGTGATGTCAAGTTCAAAGCTTATTGTGGAAGGAAAAACATTTGAAGGACTTGATGATGATTCTCAGATGTTGGATCTACAGCTTTACCAGGAAGTAAATGAACCCAGGAAATATATTTTTGGACAAAGACTATAGTACATAAAGGCATTTAGTCTATTATGCAAATACTATGCAAATATAGGGAATTTGTGTATTTAGATACATTTTGCTATTAAAAAAATAGAATCCATGACTTCTTTTTTCTTCTGAATCTGTGGAATATTCCACTTACATTATTTCTTGCAACTAAAATCTGATGATATTACCTTAACCTGTTTCTTGAGATTCAGATCTAGAAAGTAATAATAACATCTACAAAATGCATTTATCCATAAAATAAATACTCACTGTCTCTAACATGGCCGAGAATGATACGCTGAGTGCATTATCTGGCTCGGGCTGCCATAACAAGTACCATAGACTGGGTGGCTTAAACAACAGAAATTAATTTCTCAGGATTCTGAGGACTGGAAAGTCCAAGATCAAGGTCTGGCAGAGTTTGGCACCTGGTGAGAGCTCTCTTTCTGACTTGTAGACAGCTGCCTTCTCACCATGTCCTCAAATGGCCTTTCCTCAGTGCATGTGCATAGAAGGAGAGAGAGAAATCTCTTTCTCTTCTTTTAAGGACACCAGTCCTATCAGGTAAGGACCCCACATTTATGACCTCATTTAACCTTAATTATTTCCTAAAAGCCCTATTACCAAATATAGTTACATTATGGGTTAGCGCTTCAACATACAAATTTTGGGGGGACACAATTCAGTCAATAGCATTCACATCCTTCCCGCCACGCATGTCCTTCTTACATGCTGTGAGCCCTTAAAGTCCAAAAGTCATAACTTATTCCAGCATCAACTTTTAAAGTCCAAAGTCTCATCTAAATATAATTTAAATCAGATATGGATGAGATTGAGGTATGATTAATCCTGAGACAAAATTCCTCTCCTGCTGTGAACCTGTGAAATCAGATAACTTGTGCTTCCAAAATGTGATGGTGGGACGGCCATAGGATAGACATTCCCATTCCAAAAGGAAGAAAAATAGGTAAGAAGGAAGTGGTGATGGATCCCTATATAAGTCCAAAATCTAGCAAGGCAAATTCCACTGGATTTTAAGGCTAGAAAACAATCCTTTTTGGCTTGATAGCCTGCCTTCCAGTCCTGCTCAGGTGGTGGTTCTACCCTCAGGACCCAGTGGGGCAGTGGTCACTTAGGTTTTGGGACTATTACAGTGAGCATTCATTGACCCTGCACTCATAGTGTTTACTTGGAATAGGCGAGAGAGACATTAAGTAAATGATGACGTAAGTAGATGTAAAATTACCGCTGGGACAAATGCTTTAAACAGAGGTACCGAGTTCTGGGAGAATGTCTAACAGGGAAAACCTAACCAAGACACAGCCACCAAGGACAGTTTCCTTGAGGCAGATACATTTGAGTTAAGGCTAAAGAATGAGTCAAAATTAATTAAGTGAACTGCAGAGTGAGAGGCTTTAGGCAGAAGGAACGTGGTGAGAGGGAGCAATAACAACCAAGAAACTGAAAGAAGGCCAATGTGAATGCTGAGCATAGAGGGTTGAGGGTGCAAGATGAAAGATGAAGGCAAAAAGACAGGCATATAGCAGACCAAGCAAGACTCTTGGGGCATGCTAGGACCTTGGCCTCTATCTGAGGAACAAATGGAGATCACTGGAGTTTGTATATCTTAAATATTCTCTCGAGGTTAGGGAAGTCATGCTAAGTGAAATTATTTATTTTTTCTGCAGTCAGCCACAAAATTCCGAAATCTGATAACACAATTCCACCCCTCTTCGTCTCCCCTTACTCTTTCTCTCTGCCCCATTGGTTTCTATTAGTTTGATGAATCACCTTAGGTAAAATATTTAGCAGGATAAGCTCAATGTCATTCACACAAGAGTTAAAATTATACCATTTGGCTATGATTAGTGATAGGTAAATAAATTATTCCATCTTGTTTGTCAATGCATTCTGTTATTTGGGGATGTTTTCTAAGATTAGAGTTCAGATTTAGCTCAAAATCTAATGGTTCCTAGAACTGGTTCATAATATGTTGGGGGATAGAAAACCCTTTGGAAGTTGGAGGAAATCCATGGACCCTTTCCCAAGAAAGATACAAAAGTTTGTCCATCAGATAAACATATAATTTTAAAGGCTAAGCAGGCCCAAGTAAGATGTCTTACTCTGGAGGACTAACCACACTAAGGCCCTTTTATGGAAATAATGAGTAACTGTTAACATCTTTTAAATGTTAAATATCTCAGGTCAAAATCATCTCTCCTATGATTTACTCTTAGAACTTTAAGGCCTCAACTGAACATTTGCCCAAATGTTTTATTAGTTTCAAAGTCCCTTTTGTTTTGCAGAACACACTTTACTATACTGTAGGCTCCTTCTATAGCCCCCTAAACAGGAAGATTGACGGCCCTCCATCTGGCCAAATGTAAACCAGTTTCTTAAATGTTTCCCAGCAGATGTCAGTGCTGCCATTTGCAAGCCTAGTGCACAAAGTGCAAGTCTATAGTTCTAAAGTCAAAAACACAGAGCATTACCCTTTACCTCTTGTCTTATTCTTCATCCATAGATATGCACTTACCTTCTAGCACTTGATTAAGAGGTTTTATATTTGAATAGGAGACGTGGGTCACCTCCTCATTCATCTAAATGTCTTTCATCTTCACTTACTGAGAGAATTTGATTGTCAGACTAACCTACCTGAATCAACTCCTACTGTCATAACCACATACCAACACTCCTCTGAAAATTATCTTTGAATCTCTAAAACTCATCACAAGTAGCATTGCCCATTAGGTGGTCTTGCTACTATAAAAGGATATGTGTGATAAGTTCATCTTATTCAGTCCTCAGACCAAAGTTACTCTCTCCAAAAGAGTATGCATGCATTCAAACGTAACGTTTTTTTTTAAACTTTTTTCTGTGATTTCCAGGAAGCTCAGATTTATATTTAGTTCATAATTACTATATAATTCTTTCAATTTTCCCCTCCTCCTAATTGTCTTGTGATTCAATTTTTAAATTTTAATTATCCTGTTTTATTACATTATAAATGGTAAACAATCCTGAAGTACTTTTTTTTTAAAGGTAGCGTAAGTATGAATTATAAATAAGCAACCATAGTAATAATACTTTAAGAAAGGGCATTTTGAAATTTCTGTTTGAGTTCAAATTATTTATGTGTCAGATACATATGAATTACCACCTCACTGGAAAGAAAAGAGTATGAAAACATTTATATCAAGAACAGCACTCTTCAAAAGAAATGTAATGCCAGCCACAAACTTGAGCCACATATGTAATTCTAAATGTTCTACAAATGACATTAAAAAAGGAAAAAGAAAGAGGTAAATGAATTTCAATAATACATTTTTTAACCTGATATATCAAAAATATTATCATTTCAAGATTTAATCTATATTTAAAACTATGAGGGTTTATATTTGTATATTTTCATACTAAGTCTTCAAAATTCACTGCATGTTTTACAATGACAGCATGTCTAAATCTGGACAAACCACATTTCAGGTGCTCAGTAGCCACAGGTGACTAGTGACTACTATATCGGACAGCATAGCAGAGTGTCCATGTGATTTGAACATCCAAACCAGGATATGCTTGAGAGTGAAAGGAGGTGCTATTAACAATTATGCCAGTACAACAAGAGAGGAACAGAGCCAACAGTCACTCTAATGAAAACAATGGCAATTGCCTGTTCACTCAGGAGAAATAATGAGACTATACAAAAGTTAGATAATTCCAGACATAAATATGTGTATGTACATAAATAATACATAGATTACATATATGTGTCTATGTAATATAGACATATTGGTAATTTAATGTACCATGTATGTATATATATAATTTGTATTCTACACAAATGAATTTAAAGAAAGAATATTGTTCACTGAATGAGCTTAGAATTTGAAGCAAAAGCACACAGCTTTGAGTTAAGAGAGATGCAGAGGAACATCCATGTTTGATTTATGGAAAGGATATAAGGTCATTCCTTGTACTTTTCAACTGTACACATTCATGCCCATTAATACTCTCAATGATGTCATTTTGAAATTTAAAGACAGTTATATATGATGATATTTGTTGAACAAAGAGCCAAGGTATTCTTAAATTGATGACCTGTGCTCGAGGCTTGCCTGAACTGTCATGGATGTTTCTTATCAATTTTTTTATAAGGGCATTAAGCTAAGCTTGCATCACTGCCTTTTAACACCTTCGTTGAACAAAAACATAATGTATGCAAAATAAAAATGTTACTTATTTTAATACTTCAAATTATGGTACAGGATGAAGTCAGTCGGCTGTCAGCTCTTCAGCCTCAAATCGAGCGATTAAAAATTCAAAGCATAGCCCTGAAAGAGAAAGGACAAGGGCCAATGTTCCTGGATGCAGACTTTGTGGCCTTTACAAATCATTTTAACCAAGTCTTTGCTGATGTGCAGGCCAGAGAGAAAGAACTACAGACAAGTAAGTAAAAATACTTAAAATGACTAACTTGATATTTTCCAAATTAGTTATTTATGGGAAAAAGAGAAAATACTAGCGTGAAAGAATAATTTTTGTCAAAGAAACCACCCTCTCTGCAACCTGTAGTAACAAGTAATGAAATACTGCTGTTGGAAAACGTGTATGTTATATTTTCATTTCTTCTCCCCCCTTAATAATTTCATGACTATGAGGAAAAAATAAAGCATATGTTTAATATGGGCATGACTTCTCTTTGGTGGGTTGCAAATTTTACAATCAAATGTTTTGAACATTGAAAGAAAGAAAAGAGGGGTTGAAGCCTTGTTAGTGGGTTTTGAATAAATCCTGTTTGCTGTATGTCTACGGATATTTAGCTAGGCATCTTACCAATACTTCCATCAATTCATATGAAGATTATTATAGCTGTAGCATACATGTGGCAACTGAAACTCAGCAAAGGACAAATTATGCTTTTGGCTGCATTTTACTATTGGATCACCAGAATTATGCAATATCCTGTTTTTCTCATTTAATGATAAAATATAAGAGTGGAACAATTATGCAAATACCTGCCATATGAACAACAAATTTTTTTAGATGTTTTTCTCTCTCTCAGCAATTTGCTCTTATGATATTAATACATAGTATCTGGTCCAAAATATCCCTACTCATAAGCTTACTTTTTAAGAGAAAAATTGCTTTGACAGAGACAGGTTTATTAACACTTTTAAGCATTAGCAAATGACTTTGGGGTTCAACATGCACATACAGACATATGTATATATGTACACACAAAGGATTACAGAGTAAAATCGGATTTTAAGGTATTAAGATAAAAATGTTTTTTTAAAAATGTCTTCCCCAAACTTGTTATGAGAAGCAAGAATATGTGTTTGTTTTCTACTAAAATGTTAACTATTTGGAAAACACATTTTTAATTGCTTTTCTTTGTAAATATCCAAAGAATTTACCACATAATAACATTTCTAGAATCAGTATAGTGATATGCGTGAAGCTTTCTCCATTTTCCTAGTTTTTAATTTTTCATGGAATGAACTTAATAAAGCCAAAGATAAAAGCATATTTTTTCCTTTTACTTCAAAGTCATTTTTGCTGAGGGGTTTATTTTCTTGATAGGGCACCAGGTAATACAACTTTACAATAATGTCAGCTCCCTCTAGTGGATTTCAATATACTTGTTGCTGGGCCTCTATAAAATCAATTGAGGAAGAGATTGTGAATGTCCTAAATTTATAAACATTGACCTATTTAACAATAATGCATTTTTCTTGTCATAAAATCCATAAAACTCCCTTAAAATCAAGTCCATTTTAATGGTTATACTATAACTGGTAGGCAAAAGAGCTTATTCACTAGAAAATTATTTTAATTTACATGGACCTATTAAGGTTCAACATTTTTTCTGTTTGTTTAAAGGATGTTCAGAATTGATGTTTGGTGATAACTGAGATTCAACTATGATACTGCAATATCAATATATAACAATATATACTCTGTATCCATACGGCCGTCAATCTACCCAGCCATATTGTTATGTCTACTCTTTATCTTTCATTGTTCATAAAACTGCCAGACATTTTCACTCCATTTACCTCTAAATAAGGTTTCCTCCCTTCCACTTTATTTACTGAAACATCTCTGGCAATTTTACTCACTTTTTTGGAAAACTTGATTAATTAACAATCATTAATTAAAAATAGATTATATATATGAATTATAAATTATACAAATTATATGTGAATATATAATTTATATATTGTGCATGTGTGTTATATAAATTGTTTATAGAATTTATATGTAATATACATTTTATATGATATATAAATTATATATGCAATTTTGTATATTATATACTTATATATATGTTTATATATTATGCACATATATATGGCAAATAAAAAATCACCATATCAAATCATACTGCAGTTTAGTTTGTTAATAATTGTTTTCAAAGAATTTTATATGTGTATGATGTACCCTCAAACTAGCACCAGGAAGTAAATCTCATTTCTTGTATTGCTACCTGGAACTTTGTGCATATTAAGTATTCAGCAAAGAGGTAACACAAGGGCCTGGGAGTCCATCCTCTCTTATTTTTTATTGAGTTTGTGATAGTTTACAATCTTGTGAAATTTCAGTTGTACATTATTGTTTGTCAGTCGTGTTGTAGGTGCACCCCTTCACCTTTTGTGCCCACCCCCCTCTTTCCCCTGGTAGCCACTAATCTTTTCTCTTTGTCTACATATTTAAATTCCTCATATGAGTGGAGTCATACAGAGATTATCCTTTCTCTATCTGGCTTATTTCACTTAACATAATTCCCTCAAGCTCCATCCATTTTGTTATGAATGGGTCGATTTTATTCTTTCTTATGGCTGAGTAATATTCCCTTGTATATATATGTGTGTGTGTGTGTGTGTGTGTGTATGTATGTGTGTATATATATATATATATATATATATATATATATATATACACCATATCTTCTTTATCCAATCATCGGTTGATGGGCGCTTAGGTTGCTTCCATGTCTTGGCTATTGTAAATAATGCTGCAATGAACATAGGGGTGCATGAGACTTTTGGAATTGCTGACTTCAAGTTCTCCAGATAGATACCCAGTAGTGGGATGGCTGGGTCATATGGTATTTCTATTTTTAATTTTTTGAGAAATCTCCGTACTGTTTTCCATAGTGGCTGCACCAGTTTGCACTCCCACCAGCAGTTTATGAAGGATCCTTTTTCTCCACAACCTCTCCAACACTTCTTACTTTTTGTTTTGGTTATTTTTGCCATTCTAATGGGTATAAGGTGATATCTTAGTGTAGTTTTGATTTGCATTTCCCTGATGATCAGTGATGATGAACATCTTTTCATGTGCCTATTGGCCATCCGTATATCTTCTTTGGAGAAATGTCTGTTCATGTCTCCTGCCCATTTTTTGATCGGGTTGTTTGATTTTTTGTTGTTGAGTTGTGTGAGTTCTTTATATATTATGGAGATTGACCCTTTGTCGGATGTATGACTTGCAAATATTTTTTCCCAATTAGTGGGTTGTTATTTTTTGTTTCAATCCTGTTTTCCCTTGCCTTGAAGAAGCTCTTTAGTTTGATGAGGTCCCATTTGTTTATTCTTTCTATTGTTTCCCTTCTCTGAGAAGACATGGTGTCCGAAAAGATGCTTTTAATACTGATGTCAAAGAGTGTACTGCCTAAATTTTCCTCTGGAAGCCTTATGGTTTCAGGTGTCACCTTTAGGTCTTTGATCCATTTAGAGTTCACTTTTGTGAATGGTGAAAAAGAATGGTCAATTTTCATTCTTTTACATGTGGCTTTCCAGTTTTCCCAGCACCATTTGTTGAAAAGACTTTCTTTTCTCCATGGTATGCCCTCAGCTTCTTTGTTGAAGATTAACTGTCCATAGATGTGTGGTTTTATTTTTGGGCTTTCAGTTCTGTTCCATTGATCTGTGCACCTGTTTTTGCACCAGTACCATGCTGTTTTCATTACTGTAGCTTTGTGGTATGTTTTGAAGTCAGGGATTGTGATGCTTCCAGCTTTGTTCTTTTTTCTCAGGATTGCTTTAGCAATTAGGGGTCTTTTGCTGCCCATCCTGACTCATTTCCTCTTTCCTTTTTTTTTCTTTACTAGCATTCTCACAATGAAACAAAGACTTGACTTCTTAAACATACTTTGACTGGTGAAAATTGGCATAAGGAATTAGTTGTTGGTACCTGGCAAAGATGAGATGAGGAAATAATATTAAAAGACAAAATGTATCCTATATTCATTGTAATTTCTAGTATACAAACAACTTTCTTATAAATTAGCTTTCTTGGTCTTCAGAGAGCAACCCTTTGAGAATATGTTTTATTATCCCTGTGTCACAAGTAAACTAACGGAGTTTGAATAACTGAAAGAATGAATATGAGATGGTGTAGCAACTAGAGAGTATATATTGGTGTTCAGAGAACATTATGGTCAGGAACCACATAATGAAGTTTCAGTCAATGATGGACCACATATATGATGGTGGTCCCATAAGATTAGTGGCATATAGCCTACACGTTTAGTAGGCTATACCATCTAGGTTTGTGAAAGTACATCTCTATGATGTTCAGACAATGACAAAAATCGCCTAACGACACTTTTCTTAGAACATATCTCCTTCATTAAGTGACGCATGACTATATTCATGATAGCCAAAATGTGGAAGCAACCCAAATGCCCATCAGCTGATGAATAAAGAAAGCAAATGGATATATTCATACAGTAAAATACTCAGTAATAAAAAGTAATGAGGTACTGATACATGCTACAGCATGAATGAACCTTAAAAACTTTATGCTAAGTGAAAGAAGCCAGTTACAAAAGACCATATATATATATATAGATATCTATATATATATGATTCCATTTATAGGAAATGTCCACAATAGGTAAATCTGAAGAGACAGAAAGTAGATTAATGGTTACCTAGGGCTGGAAGATTGAGAGGGTAGAATTGTCTCCCAAAACAGTTGCTAGAAACTTTTTCTAGAAACTGCAAACGAGAGAGACCATGTTCTATTCTAGATGAATACAGAAAACTGCAGCAGCATATGGTTTGTTACAGATGATCTATTATTTTAACAAGGAAGAAATTAAATGTTTCTAAATGTAAACATGCAAACAAAATTTGTAATATGGTTTGGATTTATTTGAATTGTGAAGTGGAAATCATGTTGAGAAAATAATTATTGGGTTTTTTTGTTTGATTTGGTTTTGCACAAAATGGGGAAAGTGACTACATTAGTTATAAAACAAGTGTTTTGTTTATTTCTAAGACTTCAAAAGGGTGTTCTTTTGTCCTATAACCCTAGATTGCTGACATGATACTGTCTTTTTTTGTTTCTTTTAAAAATAATTGTGATAAGGACACACAATATGAGATCTATCCTCTTAACAAATTTTTAAGTGTATGATAGAGTATTAACTACAGGCACAATGTTGTAGAGTAGATCTCTAGAAAT